GCGCGAGCAGGGCCGTACGGGTCATATGATAAATTGGATTATCTGTAGTTATCTTTCGTCTTTTTTTAAGTAAAAGAGATTCAAAGCCCGAAAACTGTCGGCCTTGGAAAACTTTGTCGAACAATCTTCAAAGAACAAAACTAGCCCCTGGGGGTGGTGCTGTGTTGTGTACGAAATCCCCCCCCCCCCCCCCCCCCCCAAAACAAAAAGCAAGAAACAGTGTAGTGCATTTTGATTCGATTTCACTGCATGGTTTTTATCATGGGAGAAATTATCTTCATTTCGACTAAAACATAATTGAAGATTTTTTCCCCTATCTTATTTTTACCTTTTAGTTTCATTCAAATTGTTCTCCCTGTGACTTCCGTATCGGGAGCTCCGCTTTTAGGCAGTGCCTAAATATATATATTAGTAAGGTTTTTGATTACAGTAGAAAGCGTTTGATCAACTTTTGTCATTTGTTTGTATGTAACATTGCTGAAACAATATTAAGTCACGTTCTTTTTTGTTTAGACTTAGATAGTAATACTCTGATCAAAACACGCGGGATGTTGAGAGAACACGAGAGGAGCGTAGGAAACCACGACACGTAGCGGAGTGGTTTCCAGCTTCTGGAGTGTTCTCCCAACATCCCAAGTGTTTTGATCGGAGTATCAAACACAGAAAACTGTTTTTGATTTGTTTTATAAAATAACAAACGCGCGAAAAGATCGAAAAAAAGCAAAGTCTAAGTAAATTCTCCCTACGTGCAGATTAATGAGTAATAACACGTCCAAACCATTTTTTCTTCGTATGTATGTTTTGTTCTACACACTATAAACTCGCAAAAATGTAAAAATATCTATGATTGAGCTGCGATTGTTGTACTTTCATTGCTTCTACCATTATCAACATCAACACTATCATGACCATCTATTAAAATGAACATCTAAATCCACATTCTTCGCCTTGATTACCAGGATTATTGTAATCAACATCATCATCATTACGTACAACATTATCATAATTACCATAACCTAAATCATAACTATTTTTATAAATCGGTATAAATATTGACACGTAAATTGTCTTTATTATATGATTAACTATGAAATATCTATTTTTCTCTATTTCGAAAAATTGATATCTTCACACGTGAAAATAACACCATTGCGATGGCTATTCAAAAATACACGAAAAGAATTGCCTGAAAAGGCCAAAACATACTTCATTGATAATTATATAATAAACAGAATATTACATGGGTGCTTGGAGATACGCAATTTATCTTCTCGTGTTGAAAATCTCTCACTCGTTCGCTGAGCTCACTTGTGAGAGATCTTTTCAACACTTGAAGATAAATTGCGTATCTCCGCGCGCCCATGTAATATCCTCTATTTATTATTATTATCATTATAAATTGCTCTCATCATCAATGCTGACATCATCACCATCATCGTCGTCGTCGTCATCAACATCATCAT